ATTCTTGCAATTTTTCTTTCGCGAACAAGGACGATTCCAGAAATCACTTACAAATATTTTACTACATTAAACTTGAAGAAGGATTAATTAGATTCAGCTTTAAGGGTTTCCATCAACTACTGACTATCTTTTTAAAATTAAACATGAATAACTTTTGAAACAATTTTTTTTCTGTTTTTTTTCGGCAAAGCATTGGTTGTTTCTTCACATCCCGCCCTCATAAGTGTTTGAAAATATTTTGGTTTATAGCAATCCATACAATCACCGTAAACATATAATAAATTTTTGACTGAAAGCAGTTGTTCAACATTTTCAGAGTTAAAAAAAAGATAAAAATATATAATTAAGAGAACAAATGTACGAATGGTTGGATCAGCTTAAACTCATTGATGTTGAAAACTCTAGTAAACCTGACTAGTGGCAGGAAGGCTTTCTATCTTGATATATGAGTATCACCTAGACTGCTTAACCAAATCTTAAATACAAATATAACTATGGTTTTTATAATCAGCATGTTATAGCACATGAAAACCTGTAGGAAGTTAATATAGAAAGCTTTAATACCAAGTTAATTTAGAATAATAGTAAGCTTATCTTTAAATCGTTTTGCCCTAAGAAGTAGATGATACAGTTTGCTCAAAACTTTTAAGAGAACAATGCGTTTGAAACCTGTTTCTAACCTTTGAAAACCGGCTCTGTTTAGCTCATCACTCTATAAACTGAAAGGAAGATTGACCTTTCAGTTTATAATTGAATAATTTGTAATAGTGTTTATTATTATAAACATTTATTAAACTTGAAATCAAAATGTTTAGAAAATTATTGTAAAAATCACTGCATTTTTTCCATTGTAGATATCTTACAACAGTTGAATTAACGCTCAAATTTCCCCAGAACATTAGCGAGAGCAGTGACAAATTTACTATTTTGAAGATGATAGTTTTAGAAAAGTCGTTGTAATTTATGGAGTTTACCAAACTGCTAAATCGTTACTAACCTGCTAATCGTCTAAAACTGTTAAACATTTTACATTAGCGAATTTAATGAAAAACATTGATCTTTGAAAACTCTTTGCTCAGAAGTTATATTTCCATTAGAATTCCAAATAACATCAATTTATAATAAACGAACATAAACCCGAATTTATTATTATTATAGATTTTTAAAGAAGATACCTTAGCCATAAGATAAACCGTATTAGGAGATCTTTGAATCAAATCTTTAATTTCTCCTTCTGTTAAAAATGTCGAATTCCAATCATTTCTTTGATAAACTTTATATTTATATATTATTTAAAACGAATTGTAAACTGATCCATTTTCTGAGCGGGACGCTGTTTGCTTTGAGCTTAAACGTTCGAAGGCTAATTTCTACTTATATATTAATTGTTGATAAATATAGTTATATACATTTCCACAATTTGTTAAAAAAAGACAAATTTATTGGAAAAAACGGTTATTTAACTATATTAACTGGCAGCAGGTTAACGTTGCCACGTTTACTTCATCGAGAATCCGATGAAGAAATAATTTTTTTTGTTGAGTTTGTCTATTCTAATATATTAAAGTGCTGACATTCATTTTTTGAGCAATAAATTGACCATTATCAAGAAAAGAGTCCTGTTATAAAGCCACTTACAGTTGAAATAATTGTTTAAGAGTTTGAACAATTTAGATGGTATCGAACTACGAGTATATAGACGGAAGTAATTGAAAAATGCCCTTGCTTTTGGTGTAAAAGAATTCATAAAACTATATAGGAGATATGTAAATAATGCGTAATAATCCATTAAATAATAACTAGGTATCCTACAAATTGACTTTATGAAAATTGTGTTTTAACAATTTTGGATAAAATCAACTGAATAATGTGCACTGTGTTGATCGACTTAATGTACTACATACTTGATCTAAACGTTTTGTTTATATTTTTATAATATCCTAAGGAAGAAATTTTATCACTCTTTATATTTTAATCACTTTAATCAATTCTACGATGTTGAAAGCTTATATGACTTATTCTTGGACACTGCTACTCACATTTTTTTTTAATTTGGCTTAAAGAAAATATAAGTTATAGGCGATAAGCGCTAAACTTTAATATATTTTTGTTATCCCTTTCAGATTGTGTTGGATGATCCGTATTGTATGTACAGCATTATAGGGGTAACTTCCTTTGGACGGTTTTGTGGCATGTCTTATTCTCCAGGAATCTACACGAAAGTCGATCGTTATGTTGAATGGATCGAGTCGACGATTTGGACCACAAATCATACAAAAAATGAGTTAGAAAACGTCTAAAATGAATTTAGTTTCCTTTTTCATCTACTGTTCTAGAAATATTGAATTTGATGTCTTTGCGTACGAATATGTTTGTCAAATAAATAATTTATTTTAAAACATTTCGAAGACAATTGTCAACTTGTGAAAATACAATAAGTCATTAAATACTAAATTAATGGAGCAAAAAAATGATAATTATATTATATATAATGATGATATCATATAATGATGAATGAAATGAATTGCAATTAGGATGTAATAACAACAATGATCTTTGTTATTAGCGATAAGCAAGGTCTTTCACATTTTGAGAATGAAAAATCAAAAAGCTGTGCAAATTGTCAATTGGCTGCAACACAGCAACTATAACAAATATTGGAACTGCTTTGCACAAATTCTACTTACGATGTTGTGATTTCGTTAATTGTGTGCAATCTAATAATCTTTTTTCTCATATTTACTTGCAAGGTGCTCAACAAAAAATATATCATTTCATTTGAAAAATGGACATTATTTATATTGCACACGAAAGTAAGACAAAAACTTTGAAATTTTACGTTATTGATGACACATATTTATATGTATAAGCAAAAAGATGCATTTGCATAGGTATTTCAAAACCATGAATGAACTAATAAAAAGTAATTTTAATGCCACTTTTTCCTAAAATCATGTTAAGCAAATGTTTATCCAAATCGTGCAACAAAGCATGGCTGTGCAACATTTTAAACTTATCAGTGATTGGAAAAATATGAAATTGTATAACTTGATAAGATATAATTGATCGTCCTCGGGCTTCGACTTTAAAGAGAACATATCCGGCGTTTAGTGTGAGTTGATTTTCACCCAGTCGTCGAACTTTACTTAGCCCTATTACGGCCCATTTAATGTTTTTAAGTTATTCTTCTAGTTCTACCAATTTACCATTTGTTGATAATGTTGCTATATGAAGGTTTCTTTTGGCAATTTTAGATGTGGTTAGTGAATTTGTGCCTCGCTCAGAATCCTCGATGTAGATCTTTTCCAAGATGTGGGATTTGTCGTTTATTGAGCTACTCACCTGAGGTATGTCTCCGGTCTTTTTATTATTCACCACGTTTGAGAGGTTTTTCTAGCCCTAACGTTCCTCGCTGGATAAAGACGTGTTGGAAGGTGGTGTAGGATGGTGTGTTAAGGAAAATGTGTAGGTTCAAATAAGATGCTGGGTAGGACAATGGATTACCCCGTATGGTCTTGAGAGATAATCCAAGGCTTACGTAGGCAGGGTCGCATCCCTGAAGTAGGTCTATCTTCCACCGGGATCGTGTAGGACTACCTACCCACTCTCTTTCTCCTTTGATGTTCAGTTAGGAAGAAATCAGAATCAGGATACAATAGCATAAAATGAATTTGAAAGTGCAAGGGATCAAATAGAGCAGGTGAAGAGGTAGGTCAAGTACGAAACGAAGAAAAGCAAAACGTCTTCTTGGATTCACGAAGAGACCTCAGCATTCAAGATAAAAATTTCGATATTCTAGATGTAAATTTTTTAACATTTGACAAGTGCAGCGCTTGCAATGTTTTTATGTTGTGCGGTAGAAAGAAACTGTTTTTCAAAATGTCAGTAATACAATGATAAAAAAATTGTATAATCCTCGTTTTTTCGGTTATGTATTGTCTTGCTTGAAACCCAGAGTATCACATATGATAACCAACTTTCTGAAAAAAATTGATGTTCGAAAAAATTGTTAGTTTGGGCCTGCTTTTTAGACATATTTTAGCAAACTATAAGAATCGAAATCAAAATTTAACAGCAACATCTTCTGTATTATAATATCTGTACAATAATTTTAAAAAATCCCAAAATAATAAAGGAATTGACATTCTGTTTTTCTAGTTCGGTCGTTTCCAGCCCTACTCTCTGTTTTTTTCTGTTTATTTATATAAAGTATTGTTCAAATTAGTTTCTACAATGCATATTTTATTGTGAGCAATTACGTTCAAATTTATACGGTAGTTAATGTCTCTATTTAAATAGCACTTCAGATAAAAAGGTAAAATATAGCAAATTCAATTAAAGAATCCGTTTGGGAAATTGAAGATTTTTATAGAAGCGAGACAAGAAAATCACCAGCAACTTGCATAACGAAGTAATTAAAATGTTATTTAAAAACATAACTAGGCACTTTCCGTTGCATTTTAGCGAATGGAACGCATTTTAAAATCATTTGCAAATTGTGGCGCAATTGTAAATGGGGCAAATCTCAGATATAAATACCTTTAGGGCATCCGATTACTTATCACTTAGCCATTTCTCGATAGCCATTAAACGATCCGTTGACCCGCATCTCACAAGTTTTACACATATCATATAATCCAGATGCTAAAAGTAACTCGAGTTCCAGGTTTCCGCCAAAAATTTAGTTTATTTTTTTTTAAGTAATTTTATTTATCCTTTAAAAATTTTATTTATCCTCCGTCCCACTTTCCTAAACATCTCTGAAATTTGTATGCGACTAATGTAAATATTTCGGAACCTAGTTTTAAATAAGCAGGAGGTACATTTTCAATAGCAGACCTTATATTTATATAGTAAGTGCGATGCAATCGAATTATTTATGCGGAAGCTAATACATACTTAAATTGGCAAGCTAATAGAACCAGTTTTGTAACTAGGTATATTCCCATATTTACTATTCAACTTTGATTAAGATTTATTTAAACAAAACACGCTGATTAACTTGTTTTCCAAAATCATAACATTGGCGTGTAGTTACAATCGACCAGAAATAATGTTAATTTTATCTATATGAATAATTGTATTCAGACTTAACATAAATAACGTTTATAACTAAGCTGACCTTCCATGATCAACCATTGGCGATACACAAACAACGTGAAAGAAATACCGATTAAGTCGGTAAGTCCAGTTGGCGTTGTGCTAAGAGACGTAGCAAAACATGTTTCTGTAATGTCAGAATGTTTCAATGCTACGAATTTGTGAATGATTGTTTAGAGTAAAATATTTACTGTAAACTGTGATAATGCATAAGCTAATAGTGATATTTGTGACTGTTTATTCTATAGCCAAAGGACAGCAATATGAAGGTAAGCAGGTACTTAAGACTAGCGATGGAGTGAATATAAAAATTTAACAGAATTTGATATTATATATATATACTTAATTACAGCACTAATGTACTTAATTAATGTACAGTACATATGTGCTATTTTTTTAAATTTTACAGCATTAAATTTGATTTGGCTTTGTTCATTCACCTTAGCATATAGTTTCATGCGCTCTTTACTTCTCTGCTGTAAGTACCTACCTACTTATGGTATAAAAATTCAAAAATAATAATCTGCGAGATTTATAAATTTATGTTATGCTGCCACGTGTTTGCAAAAATCTACTTCACACAAACAGTATCACCGATTGATGCCACTGAATCATATTTCCAAATATGTACCTGTTTCCCTATTTTTAATTAAAATTCAATGAATTTCGACACTTTATTTTTACTTTTAAATGTTTTAATTACTAACGATTTATACAAGATTCACAACCGCTTGCTAGTCCAATAGAATTAAAAAACAATGCTGAGTTTAGTGTGCTCAAAAATTAATAAAAACGAGTTTTTAGGAGATTTATGTGTGGACAAACGTACTGATTCGAGAGGTCATTGTAAATTACTACCGCAATGCCCGAGTGCAATAGCCAACCTTCGAAAAGGTATTTATCCAACAGGATGCGGATTTTCAGGCAGAGAAATAATTGTATGTTGTGTGGAAACCGAGTCCACAACAATCAGATTATCCACCACCACAGAAAAGCCAACAAGGGTGACCATAAGTAAAAGTAGAACTCCGGGAGAAATATCTGATAAAAGTAATTCCTTATATAGTTGAGGAAAGAAACCACTTTTAAAAGCAGGAATTTATGTGTTTTGCAGTGTGCAGACATTACTCTCAATATGTCTGGAGTAAAGAGGTAAGTCCCACTCTTCTAGTGGGTGCAGAAGACATTGTACGCAGAGAATGTCCGTTTGACCGATTGGAGCTTGTAGTCGGGGGATCTCCAGCTACTAGAAAGGAGTTTCCTCACATGGTAAATAATGCAAAAAATAGTTGCGATTTAATTCTTCACTTGTATTGGTGGTTGTTTCTGCGAACGGGCGTTGGTCGTGTTGTATTGTTGTATTGTCAAATTCTTCTAGTAAGTTTATCTTGAGAGTGTTTATTCATGGATTCATGTTTATTCGTGGAATGTGAAGGACGTTCTTTTGATATGTATTTGACCAATTTGCCGTTCGCCTTTACTTGTTATTGTTTGACTCATCTTTGTCAATCATCATCTCATTATCAAGATCTTTCGCACAAAGTTTCTACATTATCTAACTGAAATTAAAACAGTTTAGCGCTTCCGCTTTTGAAAGAAGCTCTGGTACATACAATGTGATATTGTCTAAATCTTTAGACCAGATTTATATTATTATTTTTTGATATATATCATTAAAATGTATTTATTAAAGACAATAAACTAATCCTTACTGTTAAAAATACATTAAGAAGGCAAGTGCCATTAGATACAAATTAAAAGTTAATGTTATTTTAAAATTTCTGACCAAACTGAATTCTCACGTGTTTGAAAATCTCATTAAAACCGAAAACCGAAGGAAATGCAATGTTTCTAATTGCCGACTTTCAACTGAATTGATAGTTGGATAAAAGATCATGCGGGTTACTTTGATTGTTCAATGCACGAGTTTATTGTATATGCAGACTCATTTAACATAGTTTTTTCTTAACTTTGCCTTTAGCTTCCTCAGTAAAGCACCATCACAAGTTTGTAAAATATATTGTTTGCAACATCCGTCAGTATATTATCATTCACGATCTAAATAATTTTCACTTTTACAGGTCCAACTAGGATATGGAGACAATCCAGTTCGATGGGCTTGTGGTGGATCCTTGATTAGTGAGCAGTTTGTATTAACAGCGGCTCATTGCTTGGATGACCGGAGTTTGTAAGTAGATTCAGAATAGTAAGTTATACATATGCAGACTGGGAAGTTTTTTTGAGGCAAATCATATTGGCTTCGCTGCAATCGATTACTTTCTCTATTTTATACTATTAATATAAACAGTCCTTGCAAGTTTACGGTTAGTTGTCATGCTCCCCTAATTATAGTTTTGTATAAAGCTACATTTTCAGTACTAGATCCACAACACACTTTTGCGCTTTCGCTGCTGTTCATACATGCAGTCCCAAATAATTAAAGTTTTAAGTGACAAAAATGATGATTCAATTAAATAAAACACCATAAAAATTAAATTCTGTTTCAAATTGTTAGTTGATTTTGTCATGTGTCAGCCGCTTGAATCTTGGACACATTCTTCTTACTTTTTGCAGATGAATGCTGTAAAAGAAGATAATTTCGTAAAATAAAAAATGTTAATTCATAAGTTTCTGAAAAATCGATGTGTATCTTATGGCTGATTTTCAATTGTAAAAGAATGATAAAAATCAACATAAAAGTTCTAAATTAGCGGCATCCTCAAAATTGACTGAAAACCTATAAGATTTTTTAGGATAATTTTTTAAAAATAATGCTATACTTTTAACCGACCTTAGAGAAATGACGAAAACAATTAAAGCTCGAACTCAGTCGATATTAATTGTTAAAACAATGGTGGACGGAGTAACATGATGCTTATTTCAAGCATCATCAAGCTTGTTTTTTTTTCAAAATAGAATTTATGGCAAAACGCCTTCTCGGCTGTGGTCTAGAAATCATGTAAAAAATAATAATTTTGTATTACTTTCGACAGTCATATAATTTTCTAATAAAAAAGCGTTTTAATTCACGCAAGATTAAATACAAAATTCACAACTTATATTTTTAGACACACTTTCAAAAGAGAGATTTATTATTGATGTGCGAGTGAAACTGTTTCTGTGTAAGTGTGCGACCTTATACTTTACAAAATATTTTTCGTTAAAGGATTAAAGTATATTTGGTGCATTTAAACATCATTTCTTCATGTTGGAAACATAGTTTAGCAATAAGTATAAACAATTCTTCAAACATCGACTTAAATATTTCTCAGATTTCTCTTCTATTTTTCTATATTTTTTTAACTCTAAACTTCATTGGAAGACAAACAACTGATGCGACATCCTAAAGAGGTAGCCACTAGTAATTAGATGATACATTAATTTTCATACTAGTAGTCATATACGTTTAGTTTCTGATATTTTCATTATAGTAAATGAAGTATTAAGTTAAAAAACCCAATTTTGCAATTTTTAAAACCAATATAGTGCCAGCTAATAACTCAGCCAACAGTGTTAGCTGAAAACGTATACATTTATTTGTCGAAAAAAATCGAGCCAAGGGTTTCTTATAGGACAAAACCTTGCAGTTTTGTTATAACATCAGATACATTTTCAATTGAAGGGTCCAATGCAATAACCGACTAAGTCCAATTTTTACGTAAAATGAGTTAGCAACACGATATCATAGAGTTTGAAATGCTCCGTCGGACCGTGCAAGAATCAGGCTTATAGCTATTTCTACTAAAATTTTATACGTATTTTTGGGTTTCATATCTAGTGTACTCTGCAAGAACAAGCAATGTTCTGGACTGTTTGCGCGCCTTTTTCGTTGGTTTTAGTGTTTTCTTTTATTCAGTTTGGCTTGCATATATTATTTATATATTTTTTTAACAGTAAAACTTACTTAGATAGATTTTACCCATAAAAAAACCTTAATAAAAAATTATAAAATTACTTTGCCATAATATCGGATATTATTGTGCCGAAAGAGCCATTTGGGAACCACATTAAAATGTAGTGAGTCTGTTGGGGAGCCAATATTTCAAGAGTTGAATATAAAAAATAAGAAAATTGTACCTACAATCGGTGTAAATTAGCAAAAACTATGTCCCTCAGTGCGACTTATGTTTTGACCAGATGGGTAATGTCATAAGTCTTACGTAGAGCCTAGTATTCCTAGATTCTTCTGTGTCAGAATTCAGCAGCAATGAATAAAAAATATCCTGTACCACTCAAGTTTTATCTTTCGTTCATGTTCAATCAAATTTATTCAATTAATAAAAAAAATTCGATCCAGTAATGTTAGATTTATTGCTATATCCCAGAAGAAAACAAAGGGAAACTGCAAAAACTGTGCAAGAATCAACTAAACCCATATTTTTTTTCAAAATTTTGAGCATATAAATAATGGTGAACGTAAGATGGTTGCTTATATGTATTCCTTGATCAAAAATGTACAGAGTATTTTAGTTGTCCGATAGCGATTTTAGTCAGTCCGATATGAGCAAAATTGCAATAAATATTTAGATTCAAGAAAATATAGCATTTACCAACACGTATTATAACAATTTTACGTTACACATTACGTATCATAACAAAGATTTCAGTTTCACAAAAAAAATCAGAAAGTTGTTAATGTGATACTTCAAACTACTCAGTCTTGATTAAAACGGTTCAACTGAAAACTATTTATTTTAATCGGACTAAATTTATTTTTATTTAGTTTCTAACCAAGAACAATTGCCATACTTCCACTGCATATTTGTAATTGTGTTATTCGTATTATTCGATTTCGATTCATAGTTTTTAAATAATTTCGGTCCAATTTTCTCCTTGGATTAAAAATAATTCCTTATCTGGTCTTATTGATGAAAGTCTTATTTCCATTAGGCTATCGGAAATACCTAAAATACTTAATTGTTGCAGAGGTAACGCCTTATACGCAAGAATGGGATTCATTGACATAGATGACCCAGAACACCTGCAAGAATTCAATATTATTCAACGATTTGCTCATCCTCAATATTTTGAACCATCACATTACCATGACATTGGTTTAGCAAAACTTGCTAAACAGGCACAACTAAACACTTGGGTGAGACCAGCTTGTCTGTACGCAAACAGACATTCACCTTGGTCAAAAGTAATTGCGATAGGTTGGGGCAGGACGGAGTTTGGTGGTGATGAAAGCAAAGAGTTACTGCGGGTTATTCTGGAATTGTATGGACAGCCGATTTGCAATAAAGTATACAAACAGCAAACCGGAACTTCACAGCTACAAGAAGGCATTAAAGATGACTTGATGATTTGCGCCGGGCATTCAAAGGATCTAAAAGATACCTGCCAGGTAAGTTAATTAAATTCTTTCAAAATTAGCAAACTGTTGTAAAAAAGTAGATGGACAAATGATTCGACAAGATGGTCATTTTTTTTATTTTGAACTAGACCAAATTGAAAAAGTGTTCGGTTTTGAGCTATTATACCGCCGTCTGTCGAAATTTAGGTCCAAAATTTAGCTTGGTCGCATGTCTATCAAAATATGCTTTATTGCCACAGAAAAGTCATCTGCATAAAAATATTAGCTTCTTCATCATACCACTGTAAGCCGAGGCAATGCAAAAGGAGGGAGACCTTGTCTCTGACTCAGCATACTTGAACGAACACTTCTCTGTAGGTTTTGACGATGCGTGCTAGCGAAACATGAGCACCAAATTTCTACCGACCGCTGCCTAATAACTCAAAATCCAGCAGTTTTTCAAAGGATAACTACAAGAACAATTTCAATTGCGAGACCTGAGAATGATAGCGATAACCATTTTTTTTTCTGAAAATTACGCATGAAATTAAAATGAGTTGGTTGAGCTTATCAAAGAGTCCCTATATTTATCAAAAATTTGTTAAAAGCAACAGGGTATTCTATTAAAAACATTAAACTGTATAAAATTCAATTCTAGCGCTAACGCATCAATTTTTCTTCATTAACATAAACATTTAAAAAACATAAGTAGTTAAAAAATATTTATTAATTAGTTTTGAATACCTGATTCGATATTTTTCAAATTTAATCAGATCTGCTTGTATAATTACTACTTTTTTAGGGTGATTCTGGTGGTCCCCTTCAGGTTTATCGAACAGGAGATCAAAACATGTCTTGCATGTACGATATAATTGGCGTGACCTCTTTTGGAAAGGGCTGCGGACTTGCTGTGAATATTCCTGGTGTATACACTCGAGTAGCACATTATCTGCAATGGTTGGAAGATATTGTTTGGCCTAAAACCTAGTTTTAGCATTAGATTTGCATACTTATTTAATGTAAAAACCATATATGGCAACATCGTTCACACTGTATGTAATCAATCATATTCCAAAAAAAAACAACGTAAAATACCAAATGCCCTTTTAATATACCCGAAATTAACGACATGTTATTCGAAACAAAATGTTTGTCACATAAAAGCTGTGACAATGATACATTTTCTCAATTACTGTTTTGCATGGAACGTCCTTAACTAAATCCCCTTTGGACTGTCCCATTTGAAACGATAATTTTGCCAATTATAACAAATACATGAGTATTGCGATTTTCATTATTTGTGTGTGTTAATATTGCTACATAATATAATGAAGAACATCCTGATGTCGGTGATCAAAACTGTTTACAGGATGAAGTGTCACGGTTTAGTTCTCGTGTTTCCATTAATACTGTGTAAAGTTGCATCTTATGATCTGAGTAAGTAATCTATTATTTCCATTTTTTACTGTTTATTTGAAGTATTAATTTGGAAACCTTTATCAATTTTATTCAAAGGCCTATAAAAGCCCCATAAACTAAACAGACTGATTGGTTGTAAGATATAGGTGGGTGTCGCAGTCTTGAATTCTTAAGCAGCGAAAGGCTTAGAAAACTAATTTTGACTACAAGGGTGCCTAAAAAATGATACCACCTTAAACACTGACCGCTGGTATTCAGAGAGACATATCATAAATAACACATAAACATAACATAATATAGGGGCTATAACAATTTTCCCATCAATTTCTTTACCCTTTCGACCATATTTTTTGTAACAACATGAGCAGCGCCCCCGAACTCTTATTCCATTAACTTTATTTTTTACAAGATAGTGCCTGACTGACTGAATTCCTTCTGGTAATGGTGTCAGCCATGGGTAAGCATTCCGCTTCTTTCCGAACTTCCGACCTTTTTCACATGCCGGTGTATCGAAAATAATACACATTAAAAAACACTAAAAACAGTGCAAAAAGTTGGAAAAACAATTTTTATCAAGAAGAGACATAATAACAAAATAAAATCATTTAAGTTTTTTTTATTTTGAAAACTTTTGCATGGCAGCTTGGCGGTGGATGTGTTAAGCATGTACATTTTTTTATTCTGAAAATACATTTCCACTAATATGCAGATTAGATTAGCGGTAAAAAGTAAAAAATATATTGCTTGGTACTAAGTTAGATGAAAAGAATGGCACACAATGAGTCATTTTTAAAAATTTCTGATCACATACAGGGTGTTGAATCTAACCCCATCTAGCTAAACTTTTGCTTCGAATAGGAACAGTTTTTGCATAGCAACGTTGTCGTTCATCGAGATGCTGATTTATCAGGACATAAAATAGTTTCAGCTTGCCAAAAAAAATTATGTATTTATTCATGACGGCTAAATAATATACAGGGTGGTTTTTTAGTGGGATAGAGTCCATTATTTCCGATAGTGTTGAACTTTCGAAAAATAGTTTCATATAAAAGTTGTTGACGCACGAAGTGCTCATATTTTAAAAATATCTTATATGATACAGAGTGTCTCAGAAAAGCTAGGCAATCAAAGTGTATTTTTTTAAATAGAACTACCCTTTTGTCACTAGCTTATGGAATGCAGCTTGAAACGCTGTATATGCACCGTAAAATATTTTTTTCTTACTTGCGACGTTGGCAGATTCTCGCCATTTTAGTAAAATTTTGCTTAAAAACATGGTGTTTAGTTTAGAACAGGGAATATTAAAATTATATTATTGTAAGAACTGCCAGCATGTTGGCACCACTTTTCACGCAGTTGTCTGTCAATGCACTTCATGTGAAGCGCATTGTGAATCGTCAGCGCATTATTCATTATTCGATTATCGCTGCACCGACATCCATCAGATCAGCTAATTGTTACCACGTGTTTTGTATTTTACAATAAATTAAGTTAGCGCCTATTTATTGTTTTCTTCATAAAAAATATAACTACAGTCCACTATATTGAAGAGATGTGTGCAAACATCCGAACACATGGTATTTAAAAATGCATTGTAGAAGCAAAAAAAAGCAGTTAAAGATACAAAAAAATACGTCTTTCCAATCACCACAGATCCGTTAAAAGTTGTATTGAACCAAAATATCAATACATTGTACAGGGTGTCAACAATGTGGACTTCAATCTAACACTTTTTAACGCATCATAACTTTTGTTTTTCAAATGGAAGTACCTGTATATTAATACGTCATTAGATAGACAATTTACAAAGCTACAAGTTTCATTTACACTAAGCTGTGAAATCAACCGTTTTCATATTATAATTTATTTTATTTAAAAATTTCAAAAAGTTGTAACATTTTGTAAGGTGGCTATGGAATTCAATAAATAAGTGTCAACATTTGATGATACTTGACATAATCAATAAAAAAAGTGCAACGTTTTATAAAATGCATGGAATTTCATAGCAAAAAATGCAATAAAACCAAACTGCATACATCTATAAGAATAAAAATACAAAATTATAACTACAGTGATATTTTAAAATAAATGTTCAATATGATTTCGGTTAACATTTAAGTAACTATTATTGCGTTTATGAATTGCTAACGGAGTTAAAACAGTATTATTAATGTTTCGAAAAACAGTTGTGATTCGTTCCTTCATGTCATCTTTTGTAGTTGGTGTTATTTTATAAACTTCGTGTTTGGCGCAACCCCCTAAAAATCCATTTTTGTCAAATCGGGTGAACGAGGTGGCCACTGAACAGCCCCACCTCCGCCTATCCATCTCTCACGAAATTAATTATTCAGGTATTCATGAATTTGAGCTGTATGGTGAACTGGAGCTCCATCATGTAAATACCACATTCTTTCCTTGATATAATTAGGTAAATGATCAATTAAACGTGGAAATTCAAATTTTGACACTTATTTATTAACTTCCATAGCCACCTTACAACATGTAGGAACATTTTGAAATTTTTAAATAATGTCGCGTAGATTCCCCCTCCATTCGCTCGAGTTGCGAGCAGAGGGCGCCTCTGTCTCCTCTTGTGGAGAGCGGGAATCACGACCTTGTCCCTGCATGACAAGGTGAGGGATGCGCACAATAAAACTAAGATTTAAACAAAAAAAATTGTTCTAATAGTCCGTCGCGTAGGGATGCCAGGTACTTGTTTTGGATAGTACCCCCCTGCTTGCGCGCGATTCTGCGCTCAATGTGAACTAACAATAATAAAAGAAAACAAAAAAAAAAACAAAACAAACAACAAAACCACCACGAACAAACAGAACTGCAACCAACTACAATTAATAATATATAAAATAAACTAAAATTACGGGAGTCTATGGCTCGAGTACCTGGGGCGCGCACAATTGTCCCACGTACTGCGGCGGGCAAATAGTCTGGTCTCCGGGCGCGCACAATAGTCTCGCGGTGGGGTCACCGGTTTTCCGGGGGATCAAGGAGCAAGGATGCTCCGGAAAAAACTGGATTTCCTTGGAATCCAGCACTCAAACAAAAAAAACAAAATGGCGTGGCGTCGGTAGCCTTCTTTTTGGCGTACCCTAGACCGTCTTCGTACGCGTTTCCTTCGGGACTGGTTTACAGGACTGACCGTACGATCCCTTTTTCCCGACCGCACCCCCGCACCACCCTCTAACCCGAACGCACTGACCGCCACCGCGCACCATTAGTTTAAGGGTGAATGCGAGGGGTGTTTATGGCGAAAAAAAGGAATAACAAGAAATAACTTTACTTCGCGGCACGTCAATAAAATAAATTATAATTTGAAAACGCTTGATTTCACAGCTTAAAGTGTAAATGCAAATTTGTAACTTTGTAAATAGTCTATCTAATGACGTATTAATATACAAGTACTTCCATTTGAAAAACAAAAGTTATATTGCGACATCGTAGACTACGAGCTGGATTTAGTTTACGGAAAAACTTAAACAATTATATATTTATTAATTAAATAACCTCTTGCTTTCATTGTCTTTTTCAGTTCTAATTATAATGATGGCGACCTACTGTTGCGCATTTATTTATAGATCACGACAGTGATATACTCAAACATATTCTGTCTTAATTTTGAAGACATTATGATTAGTTATTTTTACTTTTCATTCTTTGATTTCTGATTTTATTTACCAGAATAATTACAGAATAAAGCATTTTAAATTGAATTTAATTTTATATGCATTTTTATTGCTGGAGATCATAAATGGAGGAGCAATTGCAAACGAATTATTATTTTTCCATGAGCTAGCTAAACAGTTCTTTGTATTGATGCGTGAGCCTCTGTAGAGCACAATTCTTCTGAAATAGTTTATATCCGTGATTATCTACAATAATACCTATACATATGTGTTGCAGTAATCTGGAATGGAGTATTTTTAATTACATTTCCCAATTGTATTTTTCGTATTTCCTCGACGAATCATTTAAGGGAAAAGGTTTAAACTACCAAACTGTTTCAAAATTTAAATTTATTTAACAAGCATTTAATTTGGAAAGCATTTCACTATTTCAGAAATAAACTTGGAAAAGGAAGAATGTAGAAAGCGAGTGTTTTTTCAATTTTTTTATTAATGAGACCAATATTTTAATTTCCACCAACAACTTTGTTCGATTTATACCAAAAAGTTCTAAGAATCTTGCAATATAAACATTCAAATGATGCAAATGTAAGTTTGTTACGATTTCAATAAACCCTTCCTCTTTTATTTAAGTTATTCTAGTGGAAAATCTGTTTCTTTTCAGCTACTAAAAGGTGTCAGTTGAAGAATAAGCAGATTGGCAGATGTATACCGAAATCAATTTGCGCTATAGATGCGAAAATAAACACAAATGCTGACCCGGAGTCACCAGGATGCAGTTCTGGAAGTATTTGCTGCCAAATGTTTGCAAAAATTGTTACACTTGACAATGGAAATTCAGGATCTGTATCAAACGGAATTTCAGGTAAAGTGTAGTTGTAACAGTAAGAATACACGTTCTTCGGGAAACTTGAAAATTTTTCGAGTTAGCGGTAATTATCTAGTACAGACTGGGTCCACGTGAGCTATTTCAGAACCGTGACCTCCGACTCCCAGGCAATTTTTGGTTGTTCCACTGCATTCAGATTCTACTGTAGACGGCATGGTTCTTTTAGGAAACTTGTAGGCATTTGATAAATAAGCACATTTTAAAGCGTTCGCCCTCAGAGCGAAGATAAATACGAATTCTGAACTGATCGCTTGCAGCAAACCATATGAAGGGTACATGAGAAGAGGCTAAGTCAACATTTCTACTAATCAATTTATTTTACTGATTGTAGGTAGCATGTTTTTCCTCTGCATACATACATATTTTTCCTCTGCATACTCCAATGCAAAACATTCCGAATATAATTTTTCCATAATAGACAATCAATTTTCAACGCTTTCTTTGAATGTAGATATTTTATATTTTGTCGTTTTTATTCGATTTTCTTACCAAATTCTACATTCTTTCCTTTGCTTTCTTCGATCAATATATCAACCAAATCGTTCCCTTTGTACTCTGGATTAGACATTCTACTTGAAAGAATTTCTCCAAATATACTGCATAATCTGTTAATAACGCGAGGATTGAAAAATGATATGTGAAGTGCAGTAGCTAGCTTTGGAGCTAGAAAAGCGGTATGCAATCGAAATGCAGTCGAGCACCTTAAAACAAAATTGGCATTTGTACGAATTTAGATAATATAAAATTCAACTTACCGAAAATTAAACAACTGCCTTCCAAGACATCTAGAACAGAAAACAATTAATCCATCACAACACTGCTACTAATATAAAAAATTGGATGTAAATAAAAATTGTATTGGCAGATTCTTCAGATAATACTTGAAAAGAGTTTATTTTATTCAATTCAATCAGCTATATTTGTGAAAGCAATTTATTTGCACTTCTTGGTGTCTAAAGAAGTTCAGAAGTAGATTCAGTCCATTAATGCTTTCATGCTCTTTCTGTCTTTTCAGTATAACGCACATGATTTATAGGTACGAGTACTACAGATATTGGCATTAAGGCCACATTAAAACATGAAACTATGTTGTAAATTAAAATCCATTCTATTTGATTAATCAGGAACAATTCGGAGAAGAACTAAATTAAAACGAGCTCAACACATTTTCAATTAAGCAAATAACATTAACGGCGTTAATGAAATGAAGCAATGAAACTGTTTTCCTTACTTATCGGCGATCCTAAGTTATGTAACCTATTGATAATTCAGCCAGAAAAACAAGTTGTTGCACATTAACAGTATATTTTTTTGAAACGATAACTTCTTGTGTGGTATAAAATATGGTGGCAGTGTGGTGCGATTTGAATGAATTTCGTTACGGCGCCGTTATTCTTTGCATAGATAAAGACAAGTAGCTAGGCAGATCTCTCTGGTGCACACGGCGATTTACCGGAAATATAAAAAAACAAATTTGACTCGCAAAAATTGTGGTAAAAAGAGTTTGTTCTTTGTTCAAGACGACGCTAAATACGATATATTTCAGATATAAAATTACAAAAGCAAAAGTAAATAAGATGTAGTATTTAATAATATACGCTCAAATTTAAAAATATAGGTTTTACGAACAACTGTATGAGAGCTGAAAACAGCCGGGGTTTAACTAAGGGGTACCTAATGATCAGCGTGCACAGAACACATATGTATGTTTTTCAGAATTTGCAGTATTTAATTAATCAAATGGTAGATCAATTTGCATTTTTAATGTTAGTTTTAGATAGTTCGGTTTGTATGTTTGTTTTTCTATAATTATTTATTTAATTGTTTTAATAACAATGTGTTTATAAAAAAATCTCAGCGTGCATTCGATTTCTAATTTTCTCTTTTTCCTTATGGCTTCCGACGCCCTTACAGTCTACCTGTGAATGTCCCGGAATTTTAATCGATTTGAAGTGCTTTCCAGCGAAATTTTTGAACAACCCACTCTTTTCTTACACCTAATATTAAGGGTACTTCAAGCAAGAACCAAAATAAATGCTAAGCTAAAACTGCACAAAGTCTGCATTAACCGGGGTTTAGTCCGCTTACATATGGGCTAATCGAAGTTGGACCGTATATAAAGAGTCTAGTCCTTTTACAAACCGACTAGTCAATTTGATGAAGGACAAGTTTGTTACACATTTATATGTTGCGCCAAAAACAAACTAGCAGCAAAACGTTAGCCATGAATATATTTAGTGTTATACTTATTTATTTTGTAATAAGCGACAAGCGAATGTCACTAAAATAACAGCATTGTAATTTAAAATTGAATTAGAATAACAAGAATATTGAAATTATAAATTGATATTGCCATCATGCTTTAAACAAGTTCGATATTTGATGGTTTCTATAAATAATATGTTTATGGTATGTGATAAGTTATCACTTCTGTCGAGCGTCCCGTGACGCACACCTTTCTTTCGGAAGAAGATAATTCGCTGTTTTCCACTAAAATAGGCATCAAATAGTTATCTGTATTGCCAGATATATTTTCCAGGCAAAACAGGCTCGGGATAATAATATTAATGGAGACCAATTGATAATTTCAAATTAGCATAAAAGAAGCCACTGCTAAATTCTGCTTTTCTTAAACAGAAATGCACAAAGTTGTGGCATAATACTGAAACCTAGCATTATGTTCAATCAGGACCAAATTGAAAAATTGTAAAATTAATTATTTTAGTTCGACCCAAATTCGATGTATGAAAATAAACAATGTGTTTTAGGCAAATGAAATAAATTCTAAAATAAAAAATATTTGAGTGTTCGAAACAACACTCGTATAAGTGGATTGGCATATTTAATTGCCCGTTTTTTTTCAACCAAAACTTTATATTCAGGGTTAGCCATGTAACAGTAGTCATTACCAACTCATATATTTTAGATGAAGCACCCCATATGTGTATTATTAGATTTCGGATTATTCAGAAATGTCCAGACATATTACATGTACAATATGTTATACCTATCTTCAACTTTTTGAGGATGAGGATCTTTATTTCCTACAGAAAAAGGCTATCGACCCAATCGGTCTTTCTGCTCACTTTTTGAGGAATATTACATGTTTTGAGATTTATTTAAAAAATTCACATCAACAGAATGTTTCTGCATAGCGATGTTTTGTTAATTTTATCTTTATCGTGTAATAGATGGCTGTATATGTCATCACAGCATATTGTAAAAAGGATGAAAGCGGCTATCTTTGAGTACAGTGACCGTATAAAACACAATGGCGACAATAGGACTAAAGCTCCTCCCATCCCCCATTATGGGGCAAATCTATTTGGCGCCAACAGATCTTTGCTGTGATCTATATAACTCAAGTCCAATTTTTAATTTGAAATTATTGCTAATATATGTATAAAGCATTTTTGGATTAAATTAGAAACGAGCGTTAAAGATTAGTTTTTTCTTTATAACATGTCTCTCCTTAAGAGTTAAGACAGCGGAATTGAGATGCAATTCAGCTCTTGATAAGAATTGTTCTCCGCAATGGAAATGCAGTTTAGCGAACTTTCCAATGTGTAGTGCGAAATATTATTATATATATTATATTAATTAATTGCAAACCCAAAACGAGCTAGTTAGCATACATAACATACATAATTATGATAAATCTTTCAAATTATATTATAGTAGAATATATAAAGTTTACCGATGTACAAATAATTAAAGTCAAGTAATACTATGTATATGCATAATGTATAAATTACGTTTGGTCATTTACCTACTGTAATCAATGTTACTAATGTATAATGATTGTGAATAACTTAATAATTTTGAAGTTACATTACCGAAAAGAATATTTGTTTCGGAAAAAATTATAGAATGCAAGTTTGTCCTAATCTCTCTCATTGGGACAATATTGCAAAGTTAAAATTACATCTGAAAATTAGCTTTTCAGTTGTAAATGAAAATTGTGAATTATTCAATTAAAATTTTATACCAACATTTGAAATTCGCAAACCCTATGATCAGAATAATGGAAGGGGTCCGCGGTAAAAGGGTCTAAGTACGTTTGTAATTGTTATGAGATAATCAGCAAAAATGTTTCTTTATGTCTATTTAAATTTTAATAAATACGAAAAATGTTAATATTCAAGGTAAGCAAATGATTATAAGAGTACTGTGACATGATTTGCCTCGAAAGAAGGCGATCTGACAACTTTTATTAAGACAAAATGTCTGGTTCCTCTGCAATGCATTGTCAAAATTATCCAAAAAACATGTTTTCAGAATTTGTTCGTATGTAACACTTATATTTTCATAAAGCAACCGAGTTCATCCACTTTGAGCAAGTGATGAATTATTGAAAAACTTGGTACAAAAACGTCCAGAACTTTTTATTTGGCGGATGGAATCAGCTCATTTAATCGTGTTGATGGACTAGTTCCTTTTTTACATGTTTATGCTCTTTATAAAATCTTGTAGCATTCACAATTTTTTTGCCCAAAAAATATATTTCTGTTTTCTTACTATTTAGAAATCTCAGACATTAACTTCAAATATAGTAAGCTGTACAGTTCTTTTACATTAATTTAATTGGCAAGTGTTTTGTAATATTTAACTGACCAACATGGTCTTAATATGTTATATGTATAAATATGTTACGGATGCATGGGACACAGGCTTTAGGCTCGGTTGTCCTTTGGAAGTGTTTTCGGTCGAGTTGCGTTCCTCACAAATCGGAATAAAAGAACCCAGCTTTTCGCCTGAGCGCAGTACCTTTTTCAAAATATGAAAGAAATCCACAGCAAGTTTTATTAAAAATCATCCCAGCACTTTCCCGATGTTTAAAATTCTTAATTGGTAGAATACCAGACATGATAATTCCGCAAAAACCATGAATGCTCGAAAAAGGACTATTGCATCGAATCAAATAATAAATCAAAACTTAATAACTGACCTGAATTCGGCATTTTCTGTATTGAAGCATCCAGCATCTATTGCAAAAGCACACCTTGCTATAACATTAGTCGAAAATTTCGCACAAATTTCCTTGGATTCAATGCTAGGCATATTATCGAAATTGCTGATATAATCCACCATAAGATTACCTTCTCTTAAGATATGTGGAAACATTTGTTTTAATTTTCCGGTGGAAAAAACTGGAGTGAGTTTTGATCGTACTGCTTTCCACCGTGGATTTTTAGCCAGGAACATAAAGTTCGACATAATCGGATCGTGTTCGTAATGCGCCACTGACCTATTTTGAAAGTATTCAAAATCTTTTTGTAGTACCAGTTTTA